GTCTTCCATTGATTCAATTCTACTCCTTTGCCTGTTCAATGTGTTATCTATTTCTGAAAATTTAGTATAACCTTCAGGATTTCTATCTGTAGATTGTGAATCATTTCTAATTTTTCATTTATTTGTCATTTTGTTCTTGTATTGTCTTTCAAAATTGTTGTAGGGTTTTCTCTGTGTTTTCCTCAATTTTGTCAGTGCTTTTCTTGATCTGTCTCTCAATCCATTGAGGGCACCTAAATATAATTCTTTTGAATTCCTTATCAGAGAGTTCCAATGCTGCGTCTTCCTCAGGGATGTGTTTTGGTTCTGTATCCTGGTCCCTTGTTTCTCCTGCTTTGTCTTGCTTCTTTGCGTGGACTGTGATGCTCTGTTGTCTCCAAGGTATTGTGGCATTTTTGTGTTTATATTTAATTGGTGATTGTATGTTGTAGTGACTTGCCCACAATTTTCATTTTCTTTTTTTGGATGTTATCTACATAAATCTCGGAAGGAAGGTTGGGCAATCCTATTTCCGTAGTGATACTGCCTCGGAAACCCAAGGAGGGGTCGCTATGAGTCGGGGCCGACTCGATGGCACATAACAACAACTACATAAATAGGGTACTGCACTCCTCTATTCACTAGTTGGCAGCACTTATACCCTCACCACCTGTCTCCTTTCCCATTGTCAGCCTCCTCTATGTCCCTGCCATCCTTGGTAAACAAAGCCTATTCTTAGGTCCTTAGAATCCGAATGAGATTGCTGTCACTTTAAAATCCAATATGGCTGCCACTTGTAAACATTCAAAATGGCTGCACCCTCAGTCATTTTAAATATCCAAAATGGCCACTGCTTGTAAACAATCAAAATGGCTGCGTCCTCCAGACAGCTGAATGTCCACAACTCAGGTTGTCTCACTCCTTGCTGTTTCCCTTCCTAGTCATAAGCCACCAGCAGCCCTTGGTGATGAGCGCTGATCTTCAGGTCAATTCTCAGGTCCCAACACCACTTGAAAATATTTAGGCTGTTGGTCCCGTGAGAATAGCTGACAGCCCACTGCTCCATCTCCGTACTCACTGTTTTCATTCAGGTTTTTCCACTAATTGGTGCCTAATCCACTTCTGTGTACTTCCTTTCAAAGCTCAGGGCTCCAGGATTATCTTCTGTATCTCTGTCAATCATTTTCTCTTTTCTTTTTGAGGAGGGTCTGTGTAGCTTGTCTGCCTATTCCATCATCTTACCCCACTGATACCTCTTGACAGAGCCAAATTTGATTTGTAACAGTCCACAAGAAGACCCAATACTATAAGACCACATTCTATGTATAAGGAGCAACTCCTAACATAAGTTGTGCTCCGTACTACACTTACAAAGCTCTTTCAAAACAACAGGTAAGCCCAAATACAGGAACCACTTCCTCCAGAATATCGGCATATCCAACTATTCCAAGAAATTCAAGGTTATTTAGGTTCTGTATGCAAAGACTTATCAGAAAGAAATCCTGGAACTATGGTAGCAGTTCACGTCATATAACAAAGTGGGCTCACTGCCATGGAGTCGATTTGACTCATAGCGACCCATCCTTGGGTTTCCGAGGAGGTATCAGTACAGAAGTAGATTGCCCAATCTTCCTTCTGAGGAGAAGCTGGTAGGTTTGAACCGCCAGTCTTCTGGCTAGCAGTCAAATGCCTCATGTCACATAGCATCAGAAAATAGTGAGTTTCCACAGAACAGTGAAGCTCTGGGTTATACCACACTCTGAGAAGGTTCAGCAACCATTTTCTGTTGAAATACAACCCGGAATTCCAGACTCACCTTCTTTTCTGCCCCAGTGTCACTGAGATGGTCACTACCTCCTCCAAAAGCCAAGTGACTCTTAGAAAACAACAGATGGGTCTGTATGGAAAACAGTAACACCAGGAAGGTAGGCCCTCTTTAGAACAGTCAATTTCTCAAGATCAAAAGGGCAGCATCTGCCCAAGGACAAAGTTCAGAAGGCAGAAAGGGTTAGGAGAAAAGGAAGAATGGAAACAAAAAACACAGGAAGTAGAATAAGTGATGTTACATTGAGGAAATTGCAATGAATTACATGAAACAAAATGTGTATGAATTGTTGAAAGGAAACCTGATTTGCTCTCTAAACCTTCACCCAAATCACAGTAAGAAACACATAATAATGTGAGCCTTAGAACTAGCCATCAATGTTGAGCCTCTCCAACTTAGACACCCCAGCCCGTGGTAGTAGGTCTATATGCATGCCATGAGAATAGTGATCAACATTTTAAATACTTTTCCTTATCAAGAAGCCAGCATCAAATAAATTATCAGTGCGATAACCTTACACACACCTCTGTATTATAACCTCTACAATGCTAAAAAAGGAAGCCTGGAGCCACAATGGTTTAAGCTTTCAGCTGCTAACCAAGACTGGAAGTTCAAACTCACCCACAGCTCCACAGGAGAAACACATGGCAATCTGCTTCCATAAAGATTACAGCCTAGGAAACCCCATGGAGTAGTTCTAATCTGTCACATGGGGTAGCTATGAGTTGGAATTGACTCAACTGCACCTAACAGCAACCATGTTAAGGACCCCTCAGTGTGGTATGTAAAATACAGCTCCATGAGAAATTTGACTGAAAAAGAATATACTTGCTATAATGAACATCACTAATTTCTAATATTTTAGGAGCATTGGGAAGGGTGGTGCCGATTTTGATGACTGCCTTTGGATTCAATTTTCCCTACAGCAAGCAGACATTCAGAACCATAGGGTTGGCCTCATAGCTTTGCCTAAAGTTGGAGAGGCTGCTCTTTAAAAATAGTCATTGCTGTATATATGTGAAATACATACCTCATCCTCCTTTACAAAGAAGCCCTTGTACAGTGGCTGAGTGTTTGACTACTAACTGAAAGGTAGGTGGTTCAAACCCACCAGCCACTCCAGAAGACAGGAATGTGGCAGTCAGCTTCCATTAAAATTATATATAGCCTTGGAAACCCTATGGGGCAGTTCTGCTCTGTCCTGTAGGGTCACTTGGAATAGACTCAACAGCAACAGGTTACCTCCTTTACAGTGGTGTTTCCAGGAGAGTACTTTGTGAAAAAAAGGGGCCTTTCCGTCTATGCTCTTAAGAAAGAAAGTGTAGTATTTTTACTGCTTTCTGAGTGGTTTCTTTCATGTTGTTTTAAAATGATCACTTCTAAAGTTTCGAGGATACCTCTTACCAATAATGTAAAATTTTCTAAATAAGTATTTTTACTTTACTTATATCTGAATATACATTTTAAAGAATTCTACCTTTTCCTAAAGTTGAATAGTTTATTTCAATGTGATATGTAAAAACAAACAAATAAAAAACTTTCTAAAGAATGTGGTGTTCCAGGGCAGAAATAAACTAATGTTGCATGTCACAGGAACACCATGTTCTAACCACCTGAGTGCTCAGGAAGTAGAAAGTCTTACTCCCAAGTCCAGCCACCAGAGCTGTGGGATTCTGTTGGTTGAACTACCCTAAAGCCTTGCTACACTGTAAATGTCTCTGCTCTTCATTTTAAATATACTAACAAGCGTATGTGTACATTACAGGTGAAGATCTTTTGATGACAAGTTAAAGAACGAACATGGTGGAAACAAACTTAATTTCCTTCTTTTCATTAAACTGGAAACGATGCTTTCTGAACTGAAGCTGTCTTCACAAATGATAAGCAAAATGGCAAAGGATACCTACCAACCAATTTATTCACGAATGACACAAAGCCCAGGGGATTGCCATTTTACAAATGTCAACAGTTGGAAAAACCATTGCTGAGCTTGCAATAATTGACTTAGAACCAGTCAGCAAATTTTGTCTGTAAAGGGCCAGCTAGTATCTATAGGTTTTGGGGACCATAGGGTCTGTCACTGCTCAACTCTGCCATTGGAGTGCAAAAGCAGCCATAGCCAGTATACATGAATGAGCATGGCTATGTTCTGATAAAACTTTATGGACACTGTAATCTGAATTTTATGTAATTGTCACGTCTCAAATATTCTTTTTGATTTCTTTACAACCATTTAAAAGTGTAAAAACTAGCTCAAGGGCCATTTAAAAAAAAAAAAAAAGGTGGTAGGCTGGATTTGGTCTGAGGGCCGTGTTTTCCTATTCCTGACCTAGAGAACTGGGAGCAAGAAACACAGGGGTCTGAAAATAAGCAAACTTTTTGGCCATACATTTTATGGCTGATAATTGGAAGATGTGGGGCATTGCAAATGTAAATATGTCCTATAACCTAAGACTCATTAAAATGAAATTTCGTCTCTATGTTGTATATCATAGTGCACTCTTCTTTAAAACTTATTTTTAAATGTAGGATGATTTTTTTAAAAAAAAGTTTATTGCTTATGTATTCACAGATTATTGTTTTTGGTTTTCACAAAATGAATTTAGAATGATGGAGAATTTAATATCTACTGCTGTGATGTCTTAACAAGGAAGTTAACCATTTTTAAAAAGCGAAAATAGACTGCATTTGTGTTTAAATTTATTTATTTTATTGAAGCAAGGTTTGTACTGACACTGTACTTATATATTTATTATACATAGCTTTCCTGATACTGCTTATGGATTAGAAGCATTAGTGGTGTTATCTATTTGAAGACAAATCTACAAAGAAAATGTATGCTCTTAACATCTAAAATGGGCCAGCATTTTATGTAAAAAAAAGCTTCATCTTCATATCTGATTAACTGAAGATTTGTTGATCCAAGTCACATTTGCCATTTAATGTAAATTATTTTTAAAATCTTGCTGTATCAAACTATCAAATAAGTGTAAAGGATTCTTATTCTTGGTGTGAAGCAAATTATGGCTTTTAAAAATTAAGTATCTGTGTTTCTAAAAAGTAAAATCCAAATTTTATCTTCCCATTAACAGCATTAAAATTTAAGACATTTTTCTTCAAATCACAAAACACACTAAGAATCCCAACATTCACTTTGAATTTTTTTTTTTAACCTACATGTTCTAAAAACAGGAGTGTTCAAAATACACCAACAGCTCTCATGTCACTGAAAGCTCTTACTGATTCAAGGCCTCGATGCCACAACTACTATTTGCTTGTGGACAGAATTCAGGCTATTACCAAGTGATGTAGGTTATACAGTACTACAGTTTCCTTTGAAAATCAAATACGCCATAACAAATGCACAATGCTACCCATTTTCAAAAATATTCTGGAAACACCTCTATAGACTAATAGGCATTTAGTTCTGTTTGCCTTACCACGTGTTGAAAGTTGAATTACTGGTCTAATTGGCTACAGCCAAAGTGAAAACTGCAAAGTAATGAGCTGAAGAACCAAAACTGGTCTCTCCGAATTCATTACTAGGCATTGACTAAACTCCCCCATCCTTCTAGCTATTGATTTCATTGTAGCACAAATCGAAGTCTGTTTAGCAGATATGGGAACCCAGCCTATTACCTGTGTTGCAACCCAACTTGATTGTTCATCACACTTTGAGATGAAGAAATGAACACTATCGTATGAGTCTTTGGGATTTTAGGTAGGACACAATGCTCAAAAATGTAAAGGTTCTACCATACAACTGACCCATATAACCTGTTATTTGCAGAAAATAAGAAATTTTTATTTAACTTAATGTTTATCTGAATTATTCATCTATAATAATATAGCAAGTAGGATACTATCCTTTGTTAGTTAGAATGCATCTATAAGAGCCACCAGGACTATACCTACCCAGTACCATTTCATATTTCTCACACTATTAGAAATCTGAGTAGTAACTCAACAATAAAGGTGATACGGAAAATAACTGAAAATATGCAAACTGGGTTTATTACAAGATTTTCAGGAAAAATACTTTAAGAAGTGTCACTAAAAGCAAAAATGGGGCATGAGTTCTATCACTTTGTTAGGTGGTGTCAACTTTTAAAACTATCTACAGTTGACAAGCATTAATGTAAGAACCCAATGTGATGTGTGAGACTGGAATTGGTCATTTTGCAATATAATGCAAGATTACACAAGGATGTTAGGAAACTGGGTTAACTAAGTTTGGAGATAATAAAGAAATGATACTATCTGGGCAAAAAGCACCTCTCGAGAGAAATACTTCTTTTCATATTATCCTTAAAAACCAAGTTATTTATAAATCCTGCAGCTGAGAGTAAATATGGAGTCTAGATTCAACAAAAGTGAAAAGTGCTTTTCATTAAACCTGCTTTCATACAAAGGCCCCCCACCTCCATGGCTCTGGAATACAGAAGGCTCATTAAGTAAAGTGGGCCTCTCCTCCCATGTGTACCAGTTTCTTCTTTTTAACCACATCTTCCCCTCACTCTGTTCTCTCCCCTTGTCTCCTACTCAGACACCTAAAGGCCTTGCTTAATTCTCAGAGGTAATCAGGGCTCGCTTACTAGTCTAGTAAAATTGAGTTAATTCTAAAACAGAGTTCCACAACTACGCCCCCATGCCAAAAGAGCAGGACTTTCCTGGCCGGTGTCTTTGGTCCATAATTCGTGGGCCAACACTTCCATTCTTTGGTACCTTGTTGATGATTGGCGTGTTCTCTGCCTTCTGTCAACTTCCTAAAAGCAAACCTTGAATGAGGGCTACAAATTTTGGCTTAACACCTGAATCTCCATGATTACCAAACTATTTTTATCTGTCTCTCAGATCTACAATTATGCTTAAGCCTGCAACCAAGCAGGCCTCTGAAACACTCCCTATTTCAGATGACACAGGTCTCTGAACTTTGAAACAATTCATTCTCACATTGAGTCTTACATTCTTTTAGTTTCGTGTAAATGATGTGACTCAGCATGACAGATCATGCTTACACCTATCATTACCCCTACCCTACTTTTAAGTGCCTAGCATAGTGCTACGGACATAGGAGGTGCTCAGTATTTATTTAGTTAAAATAAAAATCAAGGCTCTAGCTTAGTAGAGCCTCAAGGTGTGTATGTGTGTGTTATCATTAATGATTATATTATTCTGAAAATGAAACTCATGGGTATTACAAAGTTGTATGAATTAATGCACAAATGTATTTCATCCTCAAATTCATATAGGATATTCAAATTAACACTGGATGTATTATTTTATGGCCCTATTGTGTTTCTCTGTATGTGCAGCAAGAGCTGGTAAATTTCCATTTTAAAACTGATTTTGCACCTGAACTGCAGTTTTTGCTTCTGAACTGACGTATAAATGTATTTGTATATGTTTGGAAAATAAATGACTTGTGACATGTATTGGTCACTTGTGATCTAATGAGTATAGACTCTGTAGTTATCCACACAATTTATAACACTCTTGGACTTGGCTATTTATGTGAAAGGAGGCTTCATAGCAAATATTTATATAGTGAGTCATACAATCTCATTATTAAACAAATAATCAAGAGTGAAAAAAATCTGACCTGAGAAACAATTTTTAAAAGCACATATAAAAAGTTGCTGAAAGATTACTATGTATTGTTAAGCTGATATCCCTAACTTTGCTGGAATGGTAAAGAAATTTTCTATTTTCATTTACTTCATGAAGGGAAAAAAAGGGGGGCTCGAAATTCCAGACCAAAATTATTGACCTCTACGTCTTTGAAACAGTAAGAGATCTATTTGTAGTTGGACTGCTGTGCAGTTTTAAGAAAATTTTTCACATCCCAAGAATAAAAAGCAGAGAAAGCTGCTGTTTTATTCAACTATTCACAGTAGAAAATATTTATAACCACGTTATCAAAATACTGATTTCACAGGCCATTCCTAGAATATAGGAATAGCAGTTATATAAAATGCTGCTTTTTAATTATAACAGGCATTTTACCTACACCAAAAACAAAAACTAAACAGACAAACTCTCACTGGGTACCTTTTGTCCATAAAAGAGAATGGTAAAGTCACAGACTTGGAATATCCATCCTGGAGCAATTCTTCCTCATCACCCTCCAGAGCATATCAGAAAATGCAAACAACTTCAAAGAGCCTAGAATGACACCCAAACTGTCTTTGAAAGTAGCCATAATGAACCTTTGTTCTTTTTTAAAAAGTCTCATCCAGTGAGAACAAATGAACCTGCTCATTTCAAGCTATTTTCTCTTTTTTCAAAAATCTTCATAAAAGTACTTTCACTCAAATTTAAAATGTTTTTCATTTCCATCTATGTTATAATAAAAGTCAAAGATTTATCTGGTTATAAAAAGTAACTGAATGATAAAAAATATTCTCTTGGTCTAGGTTTTCTGTGCCTCTATTTTAACCCAACAACTGCATTTCAATAAGCTTTAGTCCAAAAATTACAAAAAAGGAGAAAAAAAAAAAGTATGTGTGTGTGTGTATATATATGTATATATATATAATATATACAGTTTTAAAAAGGCAACATCATTAAGAAAGAAATTTCAAACACACTGAAGAAAAAGACTTTCAGTTCTCCTTTCTTAATGAAATGATATTTACAGAATTGGGGCAGAGCCTTTTGCCATGCAGAATCCATAACTCTACCTTTTCTGTTACTCGTTGTTAGATTCCCTTGTATAAAAAGAAAAGCTCCGGAGTTAAGAGAGTATCTTTATGCACATCTGCACAAACACACAAATATACAAAAATAAAAAAACAAAAAATCCACAGACTCTTCATTCTCTCACGACCGTAGCGATGTTTTCAAATATTTGGTGAAATCCAGAGGAAACTGAATAGCA